TGGGTTTTTAAACTTTGCTCTGTTACTATCTGTGTATTTTAAACTTCTGTGCTGCAGTCTCCTTGTCTATAAATTAAGTGGATAGTGATATTAGATTTAATGATCTCTAGGTTTCCTTTCAGCTCTAACATTCTGGAATTTTATTTTTCCTCCTATCCTGGAGAAGGAAGAACTATTGCCCCCCTAAAAATTTCAAATTATTCCTCAACTAAACATCTAGGGGTAGAGTTAAGAGGACTAGTTTGGAAGTTAGCAGATCTTTGTTCTTATTTTAGATATGTCATTTACTGGCTGTGTGCCTTTGATCAAGTCACTTCTATTCTCTGGATTTGTTTCCTTTTCTACAAAATGAAGGAGCTGAATTAGGTGATCTCTAATCCCTTCTAGCTCTGACAGATGTTGGGGATACTGACCCAGTTATCTAGTGGGCTAGTAAGTTATGCATGTGCATGTTGATGAATGGGGGAAGATCTAGGAAATGAAAGCTTTAGAGCTACAAAACTGTGGGGCAGAGGATAAAATGCATTCAATTCTCAATTATTCACAAGATTGGAGGAGAAAAGTGGTATAAATAATCCAAAAGTTAGAAGGAACGTTGGTCATAAGATCATAGCTGGAAAGAGCTATAGAGATTGCCTAACCTAAGCCCTCACTTTTATAGATGAGGAAGCTGGGACACAGAGAGGTCGAATAATAATAATGATAGCTAGCATTTACAAAGCAATTTAAAGTTTGCGAAGAGCTTTACAAAGATTATTTCATTTTATCCTCACAAGAACTCTGAGGGATAGGTGCTATTCATATCCCCATTTTATAGTTAAGGAAACTAAGGTAAACAGAGTTTAAGTGGCTTGCCCAGGGTCACACAGCTAGTAAATGTCTGAGGCCAGATTTGAACTCTGGTCTTCCTGATTCCAGGTCCAGCACTCTTATCTACCATTCCACCTAACTGCCCAAGGTCAAAGAAGTAGGCAATAGCATATCTAAGATCTAACCAAGGTCTTCTGACTCTGAATCCAGCATTCTTTCTATGTAGAAAGAACATAACCAAAAATTAGAGGAGTGGAAACCCAGGGAAAAAAAAGATATACTAGAAGAAATACTTGCCAAGAATCTTAAGAGAAGGTTGTGCCTTTCAAATAATCTGGGAGTTGAAATGTTTTGAATCCTGCAACTATGACACACATTATAACTTCCCAATTTCCACAGCTTTGTTCATGTCATCCCTCCTCTGCACCACCTAATTCCCAGCAATTTGACCTCTCCAAGGAAGCTTTCTCCCTAGCTGGAAGTGATAGTGGTACATTCTATCACTCTTATAGAACCATTATATTATGGCTGGTAGTCTACTCAGTGAATACTCACAGAAATATTCATATAATGTTAGAGCTGGAAGGAGCGTTGGAATGTAGGGAAAAAAGGCTAAAACTGGAAGAGGCCTTAGAACATAGAATGCTGGATCTGGAAGGGGTTTCTATGGGCCCCAGTTTCCTTCTCTGTGAAATGAGGGGGATGGATTGGATGATCATTAAGATCTTTCCAGTTGTAAATCCTATAATCCTTTGACTTTAGAATATAGCATGTAAGAGCTAGAAGGACTCTTGTAATTTTAATTCATTTTCATGTGTTTTTTAATGGAGCTGAAAAGTACCTTAGAAAATAGAACATAGGATATCAGAGCTGGAAAAGGTCCTAGAACAGAAAACATAGAACGGTAGAGCTTAGAGATCATCTAGTCTAATCCCTTTATTTTATAGATTTTATCTGCCTTAGTAGATTGTAAATTCAGTAATAGCGGGGACCATGTCTTATTCATCTTTATATCCCTGACAGTTCCTGGCATAAGGGGCTTACACAGAATAAGTGCTCCATAAATATGTTAAAGGATTGAATTTGATTTTGGATGACATTGTGATTTTGAGGAATAAAAATTTATTTTGCAAATACCTGGCAGAGAGTTGCTATAAGCATAGAGGGTCTAATAGATGCTAGATGGTCAGGACTATGCCAATGGGCAGGACCACTAAGGACATACTCCTTAGTGGCAAGGAGGAGCCAACCAAGGATTAAAGACTGCTCAGAGATAATCTATAAAATGGATAATTAAGGAGTGATCCTTTTAGGATAAATCCTTTAAAGATAAATACAAGTGATCTAAAGTCTCTATACAGTGGAAAGGGCACTGAACTGGGCGTTAGGCTGGTTTAACCATTGACTAGTTGTGTGACTGTGGCTAAGTTATTCCTCTTTTCAGGGCCTCAGTCCTTAATTTAGATTAAATCATCTCGAATATCTCTTTTAGCATTGGTACTTTATGTTCTGACATTCTTTCTAGCACTATTGTAGATGACTTTTGAGGTCCCTTCCAGATTTTATGATTCTATGAAATGTTTTTAGAAAAGAATTAAATAATTAAAATACAGAACAGGAAAAAGGCAATTTGAAGTTGAGAGATATGGGGACACAATGACCAGGGAGAGCAATAGCCATTCATTGTGATCCTTTGGCTATAGAAAAGTAGAACCAGAAAGAATCTTATTTATTTTGAGTTTGAAGAAAGAGAGAGCTAGACTGGTAGTAAAGCAAGATGGGATTAGCAAATGAAATGAGACTTCTGAGGGGACCTGATTAGAGGGAAAGCTGGGCCTGGGAAGAGCTGAACTCTGTAACCGTATAGAGTACTATCGTTTGTCTCTGAAAGCCCTCACTCTGCACTCTAAACAACCAGTTGTATGTGATATTGTTGATAAGTAGATACTGAGAAGAGAGAAAGAAAAGGGCCAGAGAAGTCTTTCCAAAACCACAGCCACTAAGAAAAAGTCCTGAAATAATGAAATTCATCTGGAGGAACAAAAGGTCAAGAATCTCAAGGGAAACAATGAAAAAAAAAAGTGGGAAGGAAGGGGGCCTAGCAGAATCATATCTTAAACCATATTACAAAGCAGTTATCATCAGAACTATTTGGTACTGGCCAAGAAATAGAGAAATCAATCCATGGAACAATTAGAAGCAAATGAACCTAGGAGGTTAGTGTTTGATAAACCCAAAGATACCAACTACTGGACTAAGAACTCACTATTCAACAAAAACTGCTAGGAAAACTGAAAAGCAGTATGGCAGAAACTAGTTCTAGACCAACATGTCACATTTTCCACTAAGATAAGCTCCAAATGGATACATGACCCAGGAATACAGGATAACATCCTAAACAGATTTGAAAAGCAAGGAATTAATTACTTTTTAGTACGTTTCAGATAGATGAATACAGGAAGAATTCATGACCAAATGAAGGATAGAGAGGAACGCGGATGATAACATAAAATTAAAAAGTTTTTGTAAAACAAAACCAGTGCACCTAAAATTATAAGGGAAGTAGGTAGTTGGGGGGGGGAATCTTTGTAGCAAGTTTGTCTGATAAGGGTTTCTTATTTTACAGATTTTTATCTGCCCAAGTAGACTGTAAATTTAGTAATAGCAGGAACCACGTCTTATTCATCTTTATATCCCTGACAGTTCCCAGTATAAGGGCTTACACAGAATAAGTGCTCCATAAATCTTTGTTAAATGACTGAATTATATGTGTATGTGTATATATATATATATATATATATATATATATATATATACACACACACTATATAAAGACTGGGCCTGGTGGTCTTGAGACCACCAACACAGTCTCCCCTTAAGGGAAGCTGTAGCTTACAGAATTTATGCATGGAAACCATTGTTATAAGATTACACCCAATGATCTTGAGGCCATCATGATGGTCTCCTCTTAACGAGAGGCTATAAAGGGGCAACTAGGTGGAGGAGTAGGTAGAGCTCCAGCCTTGGAGTCAGGAGGACCTGCATTCAAATCTAACCTCAGACATATGACACTTACTAGCTGTGTGACCTGGGCAAGTCACTTAACCCTGACTGCCTCACAAAAAAAAAAAAAAAAAAAAAGAGGCTATAAGCTCATAGAACATACTCATGGAAAAATACTAACAACAATATTTTTTGAATGTTAGTACACCTGTGTGCCCCAAATAATATTTTGCCTACCACCAGCTTGTTTTTTTTCTCCTTGATAATAAACCCCAAAATATTTTCCCTGACTTCTGACATATATATTGACCAGCTCCGGGGCAGGGGAGGGACACCCAGAATCAGAGTATAAGAACCCCACTCTCAGAAGAGCACTTTGAAGTAGCCCTTCCCTCCAGCAGGTGCATACCTTCACACTGGAGCACCCCCTTCCTGCTGAATGGACCTTTATCTCTGAGATCCCAATGCAGCACCACCCTTATGTGAGATATTTTCTATGTTAGTGTATATGCCTTTGAAAGCCTTAAGAACTCTGATCAACACAATCAACCACAATTCCAAAGGACTGATAAAAAAATATGCTACCCACATCCTGATACAGAGGTGATGGACTCAGTGCATATATAAATACATATATATATATAAACAAGGCCAATGTGGGAATTTGTTTTGCTTGACTATACAGATTTGTTCCAAGGGTTCTGTTTTTCTTTATCTTTTCCAATGGGAGGAAGAAAAAATAGTATTGTTAACTGATAAAAAAAATTAAAACAAAACAAATGTGAAAAAGACAAAGAAGAAAGGGCCCTATACTTCTTTGGGTAATGGGGATAGAAGTGACCAGCATTAAATGCTAGGAGCTCACTGTTTGGAATGCCCTTGGAATTTTGCCACAGCTTTTCAATGGGATAGAGACAGCTGAGTTCAGGGGAAATAACTTGCTCAGTTGTTTCAGTCATGTCTGACTCTTTGTGACCCTATTTGGGGTTTTCTTGACAAAGATACCAGAGTGGTTTGCCATTTTCTTCTTCAGCTCATTTTACAGATGAGGAAACAGAGGCAACTAGCTTTAAGTGACTTGCCCACACAACCAGTAAGTGTCTGAGGCTAGATTTGAACACATGAAGATGAGTCTTCCTGACTCCAGGCCCAGTAACTCTATCCGCTATGCCACCTAGCTGTCCCATTTTACAGATGACGATCCCTATTATAGATCCCTATTTTACTGATGAAGAAACTGAGGCAAACAGAGGTTAAGTAAAAGGAGCACAAGGCTTAAAGACAGAGGACCATGGTTTTAATCCCAGCTGTGTCACTTACTCGCTGTCTAACTGGGCAAATCCTCTCACCCCTCTGAATCTCAGCTTCCTTTGATGTCCCCAGTCTTTAAGTACTATATAAAGGTAAATCTTTGTAGAAGAAGGTGGGCTTGTAGACCTAGCCCTGTCAAAGAGGTAAGCATTCAGAATGGCTTTGGTTGTCGTGGGCCTCCTGGAAACAGGGCTAAAAACCAGGCTTCCTCTCTGCTGTCTGCAATAAAGAAAGCACGGAAACCTCTTTTATGTCCATATACTCCAAAGCTGCATTTACCCCCCGATGAGCTAGAGATTCAAGGAGAAACAATGCCATGTCCTGGAAAGAATGTAAGATTTGGAAGTCAGAGTTGGGTGCTAGTCCTGCTTGTGGGGCTTTGGATAAATTAGTTGCCCTCTCTGGGCCTCAGTTCCTTCCTCCATACAGGAAAGGTTTAGATCAGATGATCTCTAAGGTTCTTTCCAGGACTGACAGCATATGTTGCTGAGGTCATGTTTTCAAGCAGGAAGGATGCAAGGAGATATTCTGGAGTTCTCTAAGTGTATTCTTCCCCTCTGGGTCTGGCACGTATCCTCAAATGACTGACACAGCTTGATGGTGACTAAACAGGAACCTTCCCAGGAAGAGCTGCAAGGAAAAGGCCCCACCAGATGTTTATTGTTCCTCCAGCTGTAGCACCATCTTCATGATTGGGAAAAGTGGAACTTGGGCTCCTTTTGAAATCACAGCTGCTGGCATAATGGGTCCCTGTAGGAAGAAGAACAGTTTTCAGGGAGAGGTTAGAAGCAAATGCCATTTGAAGCAGTCATCGGAGCTGGTACTGTGATGTTAACTAGAGAGCTTCTTCCTTCCTAGAACTGAACTCCGCTCTCTGGCCCCGGAACAGTGTTCCTTTAAACTCAGGCTCCTGGCTGTCGTGAATCTCTCGTCTCCATTTTCTGCCCTATTAACTCTCAACCCCTGGGTATTTCTATACCAAAGCTGCCAAGCATTGCTGAAGAAAATCTCGACATTGTCTTGACTACACTATAAATTTGTGTTATCTAACTTCAACTGGACCCTCACCACTCCATGGCAAACCTTTTACACATCTCTTATTGATTCTTTTTCATATCCCCCAGAGTGGTTATTTCAAGCCTTCCCCTTCCTCTTCAAGACTCCAAGTCCATTCTCCCTACCACTAGCTGCTCTCAGTGGATGATTTGGACTCCTGCTTTACTTAGAAGATTGAGGTTATCCCACATTAACCCCCTCCAAACCCTTCCATTCTTCTAATCTTCAGTGTCCTCACTAATGTTGTCTCAAAGGAAAAGCTATCCTCTTCCTTACTAAAGCTAAAACTATACACTTAATATATACTGTAAAGTTATACACTCAATCCCATTCTGCCTTGAAATCTTGCTCTATCAATCACTTCCACCCTATGTCATCCATCTTTAGTGTTTCCCTCTTTACTGGCCTTCCTCTTCTCAAGCTACAAACACACTTGGGTCTCCTCTTTGTTGTTGTTGTTCAGCTATGTCTGATTCTTCGTGATCCCTTTGAGGTTTTCTTGGCAAAGATACTGGAGTGGTTTGCCATTTTCTTCTTCTAACTTATTTTATAGATGAGGAAACTGAGGCAAACACGGTGAAATGACTTACCCAGGGTCAAATAGCCAGTGTCTAAGGCCACATTGAACTCATGAAGATGAGTCTTCCTGATTCCAGCTCTGTGCATTATGGCATCACCTATCTGGGTCTCCTCTAGCCTTAAGCAAGACTTTTTCTTATCTTGTCACCCTTTTAATTCATTGCCTCCCTCCTCCCCTTTATTGCCAAATTCCTCCACTTCCTCACCACTCCCTCCTTAACCCCCTGGAATTTGGCTTCTATCCCTCCATTATGTTGAAACTGTTCTCTCCTTATCACCCAGTTTAATGGGTCCTCTTTTCCTGTTTTCATGTTCTTTGACCTTTGGGCGGCCATTGTCACTGTGGACTGCACCATCCTTCTTGATACAAATTGGCCTGCTAGCCATTTCTCAAACTCAACAATCCATCTCCTATCTCCATTCCTTTGCACAGACTTGGGAATACCATATGCTTGGAATGTGCTGCCTCCTCCAAGAATCCCTAGCTTTCTTCAAGGTTCAGCTCAGATCCTACCTCAAACCCTAAATGGAATCTCTTTGTTGTTAAACGCTCTCTCCCCTTTTCACACTATCTGGTATGTACCTATCTGTACACCTAGTCTATCATCCCAGTGGGAATGTAAGCTCCTTGAGAGTTTTTCCTTTTTTTTTTTTAGTTTATATTCCCATGCCTATCTTCTTATCTCTTATTTCCCCTTCTCTGTCTCTTTTTCTGTCTCCTCACTTTCCTCTTAACTGTTAAAGGTAAGTATCTCCCAAGATTCTATTCTGGGCCCTCATCTCTTTTCTCTCTATACTGTTTTTCTTGGTGACTTTATCCACTTCCACTTTAATTATAACCTTTATACAGATGACTTCCAAATATATAATACTTTCCTAAAGCTCCAATCCAATATTGGTGCACTGGATAGAGCACTGAACTTAAAGTCAGGAAGATCTGAATTCAAATCCAGTCTCAGACACTTATTAGCTGTGTGACCCTGGGCAACTCACTTAACATCTGTTTGCCTCAGGTTCCTCAACTGTAAAATGGGGATAACAATAACACTTATGTCGGGGCAGCTAGGTGGTGCAGTGGATAGAGCACTGGCCCTGAAGTCAGGAGGACCTGAGTTCAAATCCGGCCTCAGACCAAACACTTGACACTTACTAGCTGTGTGACCTTGGGCAAGTCACCTAACCCCAATTGCCTCACTAAAAAAAAATAAATAAATAAAAATAAAAAAAATAACACCTATGTCCCAGGGTTGTTGTGAGGATCAAATGAGATAATATTTGCAAAGTGCTTAGCACAATGCTTAATTAAGTGCTTAATATTAAGTAAGTGCTTAATAAATGCTTGTTTCCTTCCTACATTCCTTCAACTGGATAGCTCCCACCTGGATATTCCATTGGCATCCAAGAATGGAAACTCAATGGGACCAAGTATAAACACATCATCTCCATCTCCTGAACTTGCCCCTCCCCTGATTTCTCTGCTATTCACAAAGCACCCTCATCCCTAAAGTCATCCAGGCTTCTAACTTTAAAGTCATCTTTGACCCCGCCCATTCTCTTACTAATTCTCAACATCCTCTCTCATACTGTTTTCTTTTCCTCCAGTCTTAGAGAAGGCGGTGACCCTTGGATCCATGGAGATGCCAAATTCTCTCATTTTTCTCTCTATCAAATATTTTGAATCAAGTATCTCCTTTCATTTTATACTACAATAACCCCTTCCCCCACTTTTGGCTCTTAGACTACTGTAACTGCCTCCAACTGGTCTTCCTACTTTCAGTGACCTCCATTCAGTTGCCCAAGTGGTCTTCCACTCCTTCTACTATAATCCTGTCACAGCTCTAATCAGAAATCTTCAAGGGCTACCCCTATAGCCTCCTGAATGAAGGAGGAACTCTTCATCTTGGTATTCAAGACCCTTCACAATTTGACTTCAATTAACCTTTTCAACCTAGTCCCAGTACTCCTTTTCATATTGTCTGAATTCAAATTGGAGTACTTTATATCCCCTGTTTTAGTATTTCCTCTTCCATCTCTATACCTTTGCCCACATCATATTCCATGCCTGGAATGGATTCTTCCTACCTACCTCCATTAAAAAAAAATTTTTTTTCAACACTCAATTCAGATGCCAATTCGATGAAGGCTTCCTCTGATGTCCTTGTTCTTTCTCTCCACTGAGATGGAAGCATTCTCTCCCTCTTCCAATTCCTCATAGTGTATCTGGGCCTCCGACATCACTTGATCTTACTCTCTCCTATATCATTACTAATTGTATACTTGGCTTTCCCCAGATGATAAGCTCTTTCAGGAGAGCTTTGAGAATACAGGATCATAGAAGCCAAGGAAAGAGTACATATTATATCTCTTTGTGTTTCCAGTGTTGAGCATAGGGTCCTGTACATAAATGACAATTAATAAATGTTTGTTGATTGAATGAATGGAGGAATAAGTTGGCTACTGTATTGATGGCTGGTGGAAAACTTCCTTCTAAGTGCTTCCTCTGAAGAAGATAGCAAAGTCCACCTACTTTGGAAAGCCCTCTGGGATTTCTCAGTTCATATTGCTCTTTCTTCCTTTTCCAAACTCTCATGTTAGTACCACCCAACCCAGAAGTGGGTTAGATGTTCTTTCTAGAGTGGCAACTATTTATTGCATATGTGATGAGATAGCATGGTGCAGAACAAAGAGCTCTAGCTTTGGAATTAGTAGACCCATATTTAAGACCTGACTCTGCTATTTACTAGCTGTATGACCCTGGACAGGTTATTTCCTGTTTCCGGACCTCAGTTTTCCCATCTGTAATAGTCTGTACTCTGTCTCCTCGACAAATTTTGGAGACTATAAAGTACTCTAGAAATAGAAGCTATTGTACATTGTAAATTTTATCTCTTTTTTTCCCATTCCTAGTCCAGGGACATTCTCTTTCCACTATACCATTTTTGCCTATGTGGGACCAGACCCTTCCTTCCCTTTTATAGAGAGCCATGGGGACTCACTTGGCTGCCTCCATCTTTGCTCTGATCTCCTTCCTCTTTTCCTCATCAATGGGATAGAAGCAGAAGATAGTCAGGCCAATGATTAACAGGGTGATAGGAACAGGGGCCATGAGCACTCGGAGAATCAGTTTCACCATAGGATTTGGCTCACAGTCCCCAGCTTGGTAGCCTGCAAAACTAAACACACAGTGGACAGTTATGGATATTATACCCAAGGCCATCCCTGTGGATCAACTTCCATGCTATCTACTACATGGCAATAATTTGGGGGTGGGGGAGGAGGAAGTGGCCAAAGTCAGAACTCATATTAGCCCTTTCTTCCCCACCCCCTCCACCAAAACAGTATTCCCACATCCTAGCATTTTCCTAAAGCCATTCTCACCTCCATGCCACCTCTGGCTACATTCTCTCTTTGGTGACATCTCCTCCCTTTATTTTCCCATTCAAGGTCACCCTGGATGATCATTTTGAATTGTTGTCATCAGATAAAAACATACAGTGTGGCTTGGGCCAGACCTTGTAACCTTTAGGACCAGCCTAGGTTTTAACTTCCCCAAGGAACATCCATGGGTCCTGAAATTCCCTTAGGGACACCTTAACCCCTGATAACCCCTGGTGACAGACCCAGACCTTTTACATTCATTGGGTCATCATTGAGAAAGCTTAGATCTCTTATTTCTTCTAGGAACACCCCAGGTCTTTCATCCATTATAGGGAAAGCCCTGACACCTCACACCCAAAAGTCACAAGTGAGTTGGTAAATCCCCTTACAAGAGTTACTGAGGTCTCAGTGCTCCCAGGACCTGTCAACTGAATGTAGCCATCTACCTGGGTGAGGAGGAGGAGGATGCCAAGGTAGCTGCCTCACAGAGAGAGCCAAAGGTGCCCTGGTTAAACCAACCCCAAACGAGAAGAGTAAAGCAAGCCGTACTGTAAGCTCACGGTGGAGATCCCCAGGGCCAGGCCGCCTCCAAACTTGTTGACAAAGATGTAGAAAGAGTAGAAGAATGCTTCCAGGTTCTGGCAGCTGGGATACTTTAGCTGGAAATCATCCATAGCATCTGGGAGCATGGACCTACAGAAGGAAAGGCAAAGACTGGAAGTAGTGGAGATGACTTGCTTGCTAGGCGGGGTGACTTACTAGCAGGTTATTTCCCTTCTCTAGATCTCAGTTTCATCCACTTCAAAATGAGGTTAGAAAAGATGAGTTCCAAGATCCTTTCTAACTCTAAATCCTATGATAACTGCCCAACTGTCCTACATTTTTGACCCAGGCAGTGCCAAAGAAGTCTGGCAAACCAGACCATCCTCCCCTGCCCCATTCCCTCAAAGGCAGCGTGCTTTCATGGAAAGAATGGAAGATTAGGACGTTGCCACACATTGTTCTTATGCTCTCATGTTTCACCTTCCCGTGTCTGTTTTCCCACTTGTAAACTATGACTTAGAATAGTGTAGTGTTGGCAATGGATGGAACCCCAGAGATCACCTCCTTTAAACCCTTCCTCTTGCAGATGAGAAAACTATGTCTCAGAGGAGGGTCACAAAGTGGTTCAGTGGCAACGCCAGAACCCAAAGCCAGATCTCCTGATTTTCAGGTCAGGGCCTACTCTGGCTTATGTGAGGAGGTAAGCAGCAGCCTTAATTTAGTAAGACAGCAGTGCTAGAGTGATGAAGGTCTCTTAGTAGCAATAAGTGTTTCCATGGTAATAGTCCCTTCCCAGACTTCTTCCCTCTCTCCAGGCCCCAAGTGTACTTCCCTTGTCTTAAGATGTCAGAACTGGTTAGACTTACTACTGGTAGAGATAGCTCTGAGACGTGACTCCCAGAGGTCAATTAGTAGGGAATCCTTCTTAATATATCCCATTGCCACCCTATACGACAAGGTATTTTTGTGCTGCCAAGGCTGAAACTATGTGACCTGAGGCCAGTCACTTGACATTCTTGGGCCTCACTTTCCTCCTCTTAAAAATGAGGGGGTCAGCCTAGACCAGCAGTTCTTAATATTTTCCCCTTTGGCAATCTGGTGAGGTCTGTAGACTCCTTCTCAGAATAATGTTTTAAATGCATAAAATAAAATACATAGGATTACAAATACCAATTATGTGAAGATATAGTTATCAAAATATTTTTGAAAAACAAGTTCATGGACCCCAGATTAAGAATCTGTGGTCCAGATGATCTCTAAAGTCTCTTCCAGTCCAATGTTTAATGTTCTAGGGTGTCTTCCAGCTTCGGTCTTCTGTTTTATGTTCTTAAAGCCCTTTTCACCTCCAGTGTTTTGTGACCTCAGAACATTTTCACTTCAATTTCAATGAATCCTTTCTCAATCCAGCCCTGATCCTGACTCTGTGGTACAAAAGTCTCCTTTCTGCCTACCTCCCCACTCCTATCTCCTTTTGAAGACTAGGAACAGTCTTGGCAGGAGCCCATACTCACCATGGCAACAAGAAGAGCACGGCTGTGCTGCAGCCCACCAAGATCATGGTGAGAGCAAAGGTGAGGAAGTTGTGTGTCACCTGGACGAGAATAACGAAGGCTGGGATGATGAGCTGGAGATCAAAGTCAGTAGAGTAGGGGGAGTGAGATGGAAGGCAGCAAAGGGGGAGTTCAAAGGAATAGCACTACTGAAAATGGGGGGGAAGGGGGGTAGAACTGTGTGCTTTTTTCTCCTCTGCCACCAGGTTTGATCCCAGGCAAACTACCTGGCAGGCAGTGTGGAACAGTGGAAAGGGTGGTCTGTCTAGAGGCAGAGGTTCTGGGTTGGAATCCCAGCTCTGTTTTTTGCTTATTTCCTAACTGACTTCTCTTGGCTTCAACCTCTTCCTCTGTAAAATAAGGAGGTTGAACTACATGACCTTTTGGCTCTGAATCTACAAGCCTATGATGTCCAAGGTCCCTTTCTGATCAGAAGGCTTGGGTTTGAATCCAGGTCCTGACATTTTGTTTGTGATGCATCCTTTTGCCATTCATTTGCTCACCTCTGAAAGTCAGTATCCTCATTTGTGGAACATAAATAATACTGTACGTTCTACCTGGTCCTCAGGGGTTTTATGGGGAGTGAATTTTTCAAACTCTAAAGTACCACTAAGACTGTTAGGTGACACAGTGGATAGAAAGCTGGGCCTTGAGTGAGGAAGACCTGAGTTCAAATCCAGCCTCAGACACTAGCTGTGTGAACCCTAGGCCAGGCCAATCATTTAACCTATGCCTGCCTCTGTTTTCTCATCTGTAAAACGGGAATAATAATAATAACACATACCTCCCAGAGTTGTTGGGAAGATAAAATTAAATAGTATAAAGCACTTTGTAAACCTTAAAGCGCGATATAAATGCTAGCCATTAGTAGAGAAATGTGAGTTATTGTAGCCCTTGCTCCTATAAGCTTGTTTCCTAAGCCAAGGTTTCTTCCGGTGACTAAAAGGAAAGGGAGAAGGTTCTTCTTGCTCTGTCACTCACTTGTGTGACTTTGGGCAAGTTGAAGAATCTGGACTAGATAATCCTTAAAGCTTCCTCTAGCACTGTTTTTCTATGCCTGTGAAGCGGAAAGCAGCAGGTCTCCCTACAGGAAGGATCCCTGCAGTTATAAGATTCCAGGAATGGAGGAGCCAAAGGACAGAGCCAGCTGAGTTTTGGTTCCTTCCCCACAATCTGCATCCCCTCACCCCATTTCCCCTACCTCCTTGCAGGGTGTGTGGAGGCTTGGCCAGAAGCATCACAGGAGAAGGTCAGCAGGCAAGGCCCCAGTGAAATTAAGAAAATTAGCCAGGAAAGCCTGGCAGACTTACTGAAAGCCCAACAAAAACTACACTTTTCTTCCCAAACTTCACCAGGAACCATTGCCAGAATGGAATGGAGAGGGAGGCTACCACCTGAGGGAGGAAGCAGAATGGGCAGGAATGAGTACTGGTGCTTAGGAACAGAACAGGAGGAGGTCAGAGCTGGAGGGGACCTTAGAAAATAGGTCGTCAGGATCAGGTCCATGCTAGGATAATTTCTATTAGTGCCTCATTTGCCTAAAGGAGAAAAAAGGGATGGGAGAGCAGCTCAGGCTTTAGCTGCCATGAAGCAATGCCTTCACATACATGTTTGGTGAGTCTTGGGCACATGGGGGGAGGTTTGGGGAGGGAAGAAAGAAGAAGGAAAAGAAGAAGAAAAAGTTGTTTCAAATAATAATAATGTTTCAAAGGAGGAGAGAGGGAGATGGAGGACTTGGAGAAGATGAAATAGGAGGAGGAGGAAGAGAAGGAGAAAGACAGTTGGCATGCTGATTGAGGGAAGTACTGGAAGAGAATCAGAAAAGAACCACGTCACAAAAACACAGTGAGGAGAGAGGCCGTTCCTTTATTCTTTGTGGGTTTATAGTAATAGAATATTTGAGACCTATGCAGCTATTTTACAAATGTTAGATTTGTATTAAACATATTGAACATTACATTTAATAGTTAAAAAAAAGAAAAGAAAAGGAGGGGAGGACAAGAGTAAGGAATGGGAGGAGAGAAGGAACAAAGAGAAAATAAAGTGGAGACCAGTTAGGGCCCAAGTGATCCCTGGCCTAGGTGGCAAAAGGTACCAGGGCTATACCAGGTTCTCTTCTTGAATCAGAAGGTATCTGCTCTGAAAAACAAGAACTTGGAGTTCCTTCAAGGCCCAGCTGAAGTTCCTTTTCCTCCAGGAAGTCTTCTCTGACTAACCATGCTCCCCCACAGACAAATACAAATAATACAAATTTGGTTACAATAAGTACAGAAGAGGAGTACACAGTTCTCAGAGGTTAGATGATGGAAAGATTATTTCCAGCTGGGAGATGGAAGATTGGGTGGGATGAAAATGGGGAAGGTTTCATGGAGAAGGCAGCATTAGAGCTGGGTCTTCAAGGATAGGTAGAAAGTAAATAGAATTTTTTTCAATGATGAGTAACAATATTAATAACCCATATTTCTGTAGCACTTTAAAGTTTACAAAGCACTTTTCTGACAACAACCCTGTAGGGCAGTTTCTGTCTCATTATCTGTGTTTCATAATTGATGAAATTGAGGCCCAGAGAGAAACAGCTAATCCAGGTTCATGTATAACTAGTGTTGAAGCGGAGTTCAGAACCCAGGTCTCCTGAGGTCAGGTCCTCTGTACTTTCTTTGCCCCCTCTCTTTTATGTAAATGCTGTACTTTTTAGAAATATATACATCCAACACATTAGTTTCAAAGATGTCCTGAGTGACTATATCTTCCTTTGAAATTCTTTCTGTTCTCAGAATTTAAAAGAATGCTTCAGTGATACTCTTCTTTTTTCTGGCATTCCTATCACTGTTCCCCATCCCCTCCTCCAAACCCTGCCCCCCCCCAAAAACCAACCAAACAAACAAACAAACCTCTCTTACAATAAATAAGCAGAAGTCAAGCAAAAAAAAATTTAAACACATTGGTCATGTCCATAAACGTATATCTCATTCTGCACCTCTAGTCACTTCTCTTGTTAGGAGATTATATCATTCATCCTCTGGATTCATAGTTGGTCATTTCATTGATCATTGTTCTTAAATCTTTCAAAGTAGTTTTTTTCTTTACAATGTTGTAATCATGTATAAATTGTTCTCCTGGCTCTACTCATCTCTTTCTGTATTAATTCATACAAGTCTTCCAAAGTTTCTCTAAATCCATCGCTTTTGTAATATTTTAGGGCACAATAATATTCCATTATATTCATGGACCATAATTTATCCACCGAGTCCCAAATTGATAGGCACCCTTCCAGTTTCTAGTTCTTTGCTACAACGGAAGGAACTCCTAGAAATGTAAATATATAAACACACCTACACATATACGTATATTACTGATGGGTCCTTATCGCCTTCCTTTTATCTCCTTGGGTTATATGCCTAGTAGTGGTATTACTAGGTCAAAGGGTATAGACATTTTGGTGACTTTTGAGGCATAGTTTCAAATTGCTTTTCAGAAGGCTGGAGCAATCCACAGTTCCATAAACAGTACATTACTCTGCCTGATTTCCTACATCCTCTTCAACAACTGTCACTTTCCTTTTTTCGTCATCTTTGAAAATCTTATGGGTGTGAAGTGGAAACTTGGAGTTGTTTTAATTTTCATTTTCTAAGGTGTCAAGATCATAGAAGGAATTTAGTAGGATCCCTTCTTTGTCTATTTTTACAGTTTATGCAATATTGAAATTAATTGCTCTGAATATTTGATAGGATTTGCTTTTAAATCCAACTGGTGCTGGGGTTTTCTCTTTGGGAGTTCATTTATGGCTTGTCCAACTTTTTAAAAACTGACATTGAACTACTTAAAGTCTCTACTTCTTGTTCTGTTAATCTGGATATTTTATGTTTTTGTAAATATTTCTACATTTCATTTATCAATTCTTTTTTTTTTTGCTTTCAACTTAATCTTTTTTCACTTTCAGAATTTTTAGTTATTTGAGTGTGTTGCTTTTTTAGTTTTTTTCTTTTTAGTTGCATTCCCAACTTGTTGATCTGTTATTTCGCTCTTTTGTTGATAAAAAGCTGTAGAGATAAATGTTTCCCTTAATGATTTTTTAGCTGCGTCCTAAAAGATTTAGTATGTTGTCCCATCATCATTTTCTTTGATGAAATTAGCTATTGTTTCTATGATATTTTTTGACCCATTAATTCTTTAGCATTAAATAATTTAGTCTCCACTTAAATTTGAATCTTTTCAATTATTCAATTATTATTTCATTTGTTCCTCACAACAACCCTGGGAAGTAGATGCTATTGTTACCCCCATTTTACAGATGAGGAAACTGAGACAAACAGAGGTTAAATAACTTGCCTCGGGTCACACAGCCCTGTGTGTATATTACTTCTCTAGCTAGAAAGTAAGCTCTCTCCCAGGGCAGTGACTGAGTTTACTCCACTCTGGGTCTCCTGTATTATGATGAAGTACAAAGCTGGGCATAAAATGGGGGAAGCATACAGAATTGAGAAAGATATGTATTCCTATTGTTCTTGTTCAGTAATTTTCAGAGATCTATAATTTCTAAAATTCTATTAAGGTTCTTAACTTCTATCTTGTTTTCTTTTTTGTTAGATTTATCTAAGTTTCAAAGGTTACACTGATGTCCCCAACTGTTATAGTTTTGCTGGCTATTTCTCCCTGTAACTTAATTAGCTTTTTACCTAAAGACTTAGATGCTATGATATTCAGTGCATATATATTTAAGTGTTGATATTATGTATTTGTATATCGTGCCTTTAGGCATTAGGAATTTCTTTGTTTATTTTAACCATGTGTATTTTTATTGTTGTCTTGTCGGATCATAATTGCTATTCCTGTTGTTTTGGTTTTTTTTGTCCTGGTGCGTATTAGCTTCTGCTCCAGCTCTTTTTTAATCCTGTGTGAATGTTTCAAGTGTTTTTTGCATAAAAATCATATTGTTGGATTTTGCTTTCTGAACTTATTCTATCTCCTTCCATTTTATGGGTGAGATCATCCCATTCATGTTCATGGCTAGGATTATTAATTGTATATTTCTCTTCCTCACATCATCTTATTGTTTTCCCTCTTTTGCCCCCTCACTCCTCTTTACAAAGACAGTGATGAAAGAGAAGGAATATGATCAACACATGATCTGTAATTGAAGAGATCTGCTGCCTTACTTGCACCTGTCTTTTCTTCCTCTTGCCTAGACTCTGACAATTTATTCTTTCCCTTCCTTCCTTTCCTTTTAATCCCCTTTTTATGATTGGAACACCAGTGTCTAAGTTTATTTTGCTTGTGGCTACTCCATCTTTGACTCTACCCTCTCCCATAAGTTGCAATCTCCCCTTCCTCATCTCCCTGTATTTGCTTATTTCTTTCTGTGTGTCTTTATGTCTGTTGGTTTAGCTCTCCTTCGTCTGTCTTAGATGAGCATTAAGTTCATGTGATGCCCACTTTTCCCATCCCCTTCCTTCACGTTTGTATATTCTTCTCAAGAATCCTAATTATAACAAAGAAAAAGTTCTATTCCCCTTTTCTTCATTTCTTCCCTAATATATTCCCTTCTCCCTCCCTTTTTTCCCCTCTCTTAAGATCATCCAAACAGAACACAACCACTTCTGGGCCACCTGTCTTATTTAACTCCCAGTGAAGCTATGGGGTTCTGAAAGGATACTTGTCTCTATCTGTCCTATTAGAATGTAAGCATTTCATCATCACTTAGCCCCCTTTTAATTACTCAAATATATTTACCTTTCTAAGTTTCTCTTGATTCCTGTGTTTGTATTTCAAAGTATCTACTCAGCTCTAGTCTTTTCATCAGGAATGCCTGAAAATTTCCTGTTCTATTAAAACTCTTCCCCTCCACTTTTAGAATTATATGCAATCTAGGGGACAGCTAGGTGGCACAGTAGATAGAGTACTGGCCCTGAAGTCAGGAGAACCTGAGTTCAAATCTGGCCTCACACCAAACACTTGACACTAGCTGGGTGACCCTGGGCAAGTCACTTAACCCCAATTGCCTTAAAAAAAAAAAGAATTATATGCAGTCTTATGTCAGACTCCACCCCATTCTGTACTCTTAGATGGGATGATGAGGCCCTGTTTGATCTTGACCTCAATTACCTGGTCTCCTACCACTAGCTTCTTCTGTCTTTCCTAGTAGGCCGGCACGCAGAATACTGGCAAATTTCAGGCCCCCTGGGATCATCTGTATTCAGAACACAGAGGTTTTCAGGACCCTCTAGAACATCATGCGTCAGATTGCTATACACTGACCTGAGTTCAAATCTGGCCTCAGACACTGGAAACTTACTAGCTGTGTGACCCTGGACAAGTCACTTAACCCTGATTGCCTCACCAAAAAGCAAAAACGAAACAGGAAGAAAGATTGCTGTACACTTCCAGCTTTCCATGGAGTCACAGTCAGAGGTCTGTGGGTTTCTGACCCTCTTGGCATTTCCCTGTTCAAGCATTCCAGGCTTCCTGTCCTCTGGTACAGAGGATTTGCAGACTTCAAGGCTCTCAGGGATATCTGGTCAGAGGGAGCTTCTATGGGCTTTTGCACCCACCCCCTCTTCTGCCACATCATGGTCGTCAGAGTTTTGTCTGCTTTTGTCCCTGATCCACATTTATAGTGATGCAGGATTCAGAGGTACCTTGAACTTCTTCATCTACTCATTCTAGGCTTCTTGCCCTTTGAGTAAGGAGTGCTGCAGGCTTCAGATACAAGGGCTGTCTTACTATTAGATTTGTCTTCCTTGTGCTTTGCACACAGTAAGCACTTAATAAATGCTTTCTCATTCATTCAGGTGCCCCTGGAATATCTCTGGTCAGAGTGCCTGTAAGTTTCCAGCTTGTCTACTCATTAGTGTTAGTTTCTCTGGTGGAGGGCTGCTAAAGGCTTCTGGCTATCTTTTTGTACAGTTCAGGGTTGGGTGAAGGCACTTACTGTAGTTTCTTTTTGGATTTCTTGATCATTATTCAGTCTTGTTCTATTTTTACACCTTTGCTGGAGATGCAGAAGAGCCAGGATGCTGTATGACCTTTCCCATAGCCATATGAACTGGATTTGTCCAGTACACTTTCAAAGACCACACTGCTTCTCAGAAACCAGAAGTGCTTTGACAACTTTAAAGTGAAATATAAATGTCAATTATTATTATACCCCAGAAAGCTCCCAGGAATGACTGAGAGTAGGTTCTTTGAGAGCATGTGAATCTGGAAATCCCTAGCTGGGATCCAGGCAATGGAGGATTAGGCCCACCCAGCTTCTCCCCCAAACGACAAAACTTTATACCAGTAGGATGAGCACCAGGTACTGGAAGGTCCCAGAGAGACCAGCGGCATGGGTGCAGAAGAAGGCGAAGATTCCCTGGGCCATCTGTGGGAGAGAAGGGAGACTGTCTTCAGGCAGATCCAGTTGCTTCCAGGGCTAGAGGGGCTGATGGGGGAAGTTAAGTGTGCAGAGTTGGCTGGATCTTCTTCTCAAAGGATTCCATGGAGTCTTTGAAGAGGAACTCAGGTGGCAATATCATGTAGCAAAAAGGGCATAGTATTTGGACTTGGCATCGATGCCCATCTCTGACATGTATAGCTGCTTAACCCTCAGCAAGTCACCTCACCTCTCTGAGCTTCAGTTTCCCCAATTACAAATCAGAAAAGAAAACATGCTACCTGGTAAGATTGTTATGAGGAAAGTACTTCATTAACCTTAAATTGCTATATAAATATTAGTTTTTATCAACATCTCATCCCATCCCTCGTTTTACAGAAGAAGTGATTTGTCAATAGTAACAAAGTGAATTACTGGACTTAGCTAGGTGTAGAACTCAGGTCTCCTAGGCTTTTCCCATCATTGTACAATGAAATCCAACTGTGGCCTGGATGGGGTGGGAAGGGGAAGACAGTAAAGCAGAACTGGGACCTAGGGTTCAGTTCTAGTCCTCTGCATTCCAGATAGGATTTATAGATGTTAGACTTGAAAGACAATCTAGTCCAGCTCTCTCATCTTAAATAAAGATGAGGAAATTGAGTCCCAGAGACATGTCAGTGACATGTCAGTGACTTGACTAAAGTCATAATGGTAGTAATTGCTAAAGCTGAGATTTGAACCTAGGTCTTCAGAGTTCAAACTGAATGCTGTTGTGTGATACCAAGCTATCTTTCAAATTCCCCCCACTCCTGGTTCAATTGGAATCAACCCTTCCTAATCCCTAAGACTCCCTGGGAGATCACTGTTCAGTCTCAGCAGTTCCTGTCCTTTTACCTGGAATGCCATGGAGACAAAGAGGAATCCACTTAGGAGGAGAGTGTAGGGCCTGTGGCCCATGACGGTGAACAGGCTGTAAGCAAATGGGAGTCTGGACTGGTACAAGGTGCTGAGCGGCCCTGCAATGGAAGGAGTCAGGTAAGGGGGCTGACCCTGCCATGGATCGGCCTTTGTACTCACAGGCATAGGCTGGCCCCTTGTAACCAGGGGGTTGCTAGCCTTTCTGATTGAGTTTACCTGGGAGCTCTCTGTTCCCAAATTTTTTTCCTAAGCTCTTTTTCTGGACCTCTCCTTTGCTTGATCCACTCTATCTTATATCATATTTCTCTATGTGTGGGTTGTGACTCACCATTAGATTATAGGCTCTTTAAAGTTAGGGACTAGGTCATTTTTAATTTTTGTATCCCTAGTATTTGGCACTTAGTAGGCACTTAAATTATTTTTTTATTGAATTGTAGAGTCTCCAAGGGCTTCTCGACTAAAATTCTAAAAAAGTGATAGATGGTGGAGAAAGAAGAAGTCACCCGGTTAAGAAGCCTGGGACCGAGAAGTCTGGGAGGGTGGTCAGAGGAGGAGGAGCAGGTAGGAGAAAAGAGCAAACAAGACAGAAAGGAGCAGGAACTGGTGAGTGAGAAATTAGGTGAAGCTAGAATTTAACAGAGAAGGGAAGAAATCTTTAGAGTGAGAACCTAGGGATTGGCAATCCAGGAAGACAGGGGCCTAGAGAGCCATTCAGCTTGAGTTATGGTAGGAAACTAAAGAACCTTCCTTCCTCCAGCTTTCCTCCAGCTTTGAATCTGCATTTCTTCTTTAGCCTGATTACATCTGACCTTGTATCATTTTGTTGTTGTTGTAGTCATGGCCAACTCTTCATGACCTCATATGGGGTTTTCTTGGCAAAGATACTGGAGTGGTTTTGCCATTTCCTTCTCCAGCTCATTTTATGGATGAGGAAACAGGCACACAAGGTGAAGTGACTTGCCCAGGGTCAAACAGCTAGTGTCTGAGATTAGATTTGACCTCAGGTCCTCCTGACTCCAAGGCTGGAGCTCTATCCCCTGTGCCACCCAGTTGCCCCTGGCACCTGCCATTTGATGGTTGGTTGTTACCCTTTGTTCTCGAAGAGGACCAAAATGACATCATCATGTTAGAACCAAGGTACAGTGTGTCTGACGATGGCTGATCAGAGTTTATGCTGTGCCACAGGTTGGGCACAAATAGTCCATGTGAACATTTGGGGTGGATTCTCTAAATTTATGCATCTCACATTTTTTCTGAGTGACTGCAATTTTGCTTTGCTCACAGAGCGTGGCGCCTTCTCTGATAAGGGCATGCTATGCTGGGCAACCTTTCACAAGCAACTCCCATGTTATGCAATCAATTTGAATGCTATTTGATAAAAGTGTGTTGAATTACATTTAATTCCTGCAAGTACGTAGTTCCTGCCACAAGCCCTTATCAGATGGTCAAGAGGCATTAGGGGCAGGAAAACCACAAAACCATGAACCCAGAGGCATAGTGATAGGGGGTTCTGGGCAAGACTTCCTCCTACCTCTCAACACCCCTGTTCACTGGCCTACATGGTTCTTCTGAATGCTTCCAGTCTTCTGTTGATTCATAGCTCCAGTCTCAGTTCCAAGGCCAGACTCCTCCCACTTTCTACCCTCATGGACCTGTTTGGTTCTGGCTTCAATTACCTGGGACTCCCTGATATTTCTGTGCTCAGAATGCCAGAAGGTTTCAGGCACCCCTGGCTCAGTTATGTTCAAAGGAACATTTTGGCCTTCAGGGTCCATTGGAGCATCTCATGGGGGGATTTCTGCCCCTTTGGTTGAAGGTTTTGATTCCTATTAAAATGCAGACTTCCCTGGTAGGGGGTTCTTAGTTACTTATCACTATAAATGAATTAAGATTCTTTCTTGGGGAGGATTTTTGGAGGGAGAGGCAACCTATGGTTTGTGGAGCCTGGAGGAGACCAAGCTTGGAGAGAAAAGGGATTTGCTAAGGTGGAGAAGGTAGAGAAGCAAGGGGCAAATCTTGTCTGTTTCACAGTTTGGGGCTTACGTGTGGACTCTGCCTGGGGGATCAGGCCAGGTTAGCCTAGCTGGTAAGGCCTGGAGGTCCCATGGTGTTCTGAAGACCATGTCCTGTGGCATAAGGCAGGCAAATGAGATGTGGGAGGAAAGAACCTTGGATTGGGGTTCAGGAAACTTAGGTTCTCATAGAATCACAAAAGGTCAGAAATAGGAGGGATCTTAGTGGTCATCTAATCCAGCTTCCTCATTTTGCCAAGGAGGAAAAGAAAGGATATGACTTGCCCAGGGTCGCACAACCAGGGTCCCACACCTTCTCTCTGGCCCCAGCCAGACGTCCCCAGTGCTCTCACCGTGCTGCTCCTTCACCCCAAGGACAAGGACCGCACAGGAGCAGCAGTAGAGGGACCCAATGACCATGGCTGCTGTCAGGTAGGCCATTCGCTGCAGAATAAGAAGCATCTGTCAGTCTGCACCCCTCAAGGCTCTTGCAGGCACCAGGTTTAATCCTAACGCACATCTTTACTCATGCTGTACTCACCACCTGGGGTGCCTTCCACCATCTCCATTGTCATCTTTACAACCTACCCATCCTTCAAGACCCTTCACATGCCATTGCTTCAAATACAGCCTTCCCTGACCACCAAACCCCATCATTTCTCCCTTTTCAGCCATCTGCCAATCTTATCTGATCTTTCAATGGACAGATCCAATCTGACCTCTGAGAAGCCCAGGACTGGCAGGGTACCAATCCAAAGACCTGAGTCCTGCCTATGACAATGTGAAAGTCACTCCAGCTTCTATGAGCATCAGTTTCATTATCTGTAAAATGGGAATACTTGCACTAGTCTATACCGCACCAGCTACCATATATCATCAAAGAACCACTAAGAGTGAGAACAGGAAGACATCTTGGAATAATGACAGTACATTGAATGTCCAAACTATGAGAGTCCTTGGAATACAGAACCTCTATCATAGATTAATTATGCCCTGGAACATAGCACATAGAAAATCAGAACTGGGAAACAAAACACAGAACTTGAGAGGTGGATGTGTTCTTAGAACACAGAGCACCAGAGGCAGAAGGGCTTTGAGAATGAAGATTACAGAACTGGAAAGGATCTTATCTCTATCACATAGTTTTATAGGTATAGATATAGATGTAGATCTATTTTATAGATGAGGAAACTTAGTTCTAGAATAGGTAAGGAATTTTCCCCAACACAGAGAGCTGGGATAACCTATGGACTCAAATCCAGGTCTTCTAACCCTTGGCCCAATATTCTTTCTACCTTCCCCCTCACTCACACTCAGCTTCTTTAATTACTTTGCAATGAATAAAAATAAGAATGATAATGGCTATGATTTATGCCAAGCACTGTTAGGGACTTTACAATTATTATTTCATTTGTTCCTCACAACAACCCTGGGAAGTAGATGCTATTGTTACCCCCATTTTACAGATGAGGAAACTGAGACAAACAGAGGTTAAATAACTTGCCTCGGGTCACACAGCCCTGTGTGTATATTACTTCTCTAGCTAGAAAGTAAGCTCTCTCCAGGCCAGTGACTGAGTTTACTCCACTCTGGGTCTCCTATATTATGATGAAGTACAAAGCTGGGCATAAAATGGGGGAAGCAAGAATTCATCAGCACCTCTTGCTGACTACTCACTGTGGGTTTTTGTTTTGGATGTTTCTTTAAAATTTTGAACTTAACAAACACCAAATAAGATGAACATTTCCAAAGACAAATGAGAACAGAAAAAGAGGGATTACACATGCAGTCATGAATCTGTACCACAGATGGCTTCCAAGTATAAAACAAATTCAGCGTGTTATTTTCAAAGTTACTCTGCCTGCCTGGTCTTCCTACTGACCTTCCTTCTGTTCTCCTCTGTGCATTTAAAAATATGTTTCAGTGGACCTTTTTTAAAATTACTTTTTCTTTCTTTTTTCATTTTGGCAACTGTACTGCTTACCCCTGTGTACCTCCCTCCCCTTCCTCAACACGCAAACATTGAAAGAAAAACAAAACTCATATCAAAAAGGCACAGTCAAACAAAACACATTCCCACATTGGCTGTGCCTGAGAATATGTCTCATTCTACACTCTGAGTCCATCTCATTGTTGGGAGGTAGGTAACATGTACTCACTGTGTTTTCCAATGTGTCAGTGAGTGGGGAGGTGCTGTTGCCCATGGTCTCATTAGACAGGGATCCATTGAGTCCCTGGCAGTTCAAGGTCACGCTGGCGTGATATTTGCCCACAATCAGCCCCTGGAGGCTAGTGCCAATGAGGGTACTCAGGACCTCCATCCCCATCCCTGGGGGTGGGATACATCAGAGTTAATGGGGCCCAAAATAGAGCTTCCTTGGTTGTTCAGCACTCCAACCCAGTCTCATTTAAGCAAATCTCCCCTTACACCCTTCTAAGTGAGTGAGCCCCAGCCTTAGATCCTTACTAAACCTTCTGCTTGACCTTAGGGATTGTCTTATGAAGTCATGTGATTTACAGCTGGAAAAGACTTTTGCTATAATATCATCTAACTCCTACTTTCTAAATGAGAGAGGAAAGTAGGAAATGCCCCCCTATTCCCTTATGGGCCAAGGCTCTCAGAGCATTCTCGAGGGAGGGAGGAACAGACATATTCTCCAGAATAAAACAAGCAGGCTCTGGCAGAAGCACCTACAGCTCAGACTGGCCAGCCTGGCATGGGGGTGGCGGCAGGGGGGACAGTCACCTGAGAATCTGAAGATGGCTATGAAATGGGTGTGTAAGTGTAGCTGTGACAGGTAGTGTTAGAGGAGGGAGGGAGAGAGAAGGCCAGAGAGTCAGGAGCAGTGAGAGCAGGTGAGAAAGTCTGACCTAGTGACGCCCTGACTTTATAGATGGGGAAGAGGAGGCCCAAGGTCACACGGGGATTGAGTGGCAAGAGTGAGATTGACGTCCACACCCTGATGCGGTATTGGCAGTGCCGGACAAGGACTTGGGTCCAGGACCAGATTTGCCACTTAATCAGTTGGGTGAGTTTTGGCAAGCCAATTCCCTTCTCAGAGACTCAGCTTGTTTTAATCTGTAAAACTGTCATGATAATTCTTGCTCTGTCTCTTCTCCAGGGCTATCCTGAGGATTAAATGAGGTATATGATTTCAAAGTATTTTGTGAATTGCAAAGTGCTATAAAAATGTGTGCTATTATTGTAAGATATGGTGATTATGGAGGCATGATGGATGGAGTGTTGTCTTAGAGGGAGGGAGATGTGGGATCGAATCCTATCTCTGACAGACTGGCCCTATGACCCTAGGCAGGTCATTTGACTTCTAAGTGCTCCAAGTCAACCTCTCCCTTTAAAAATAAAATATTGCTATCTTTTGGTTTTAATCACCTCTCTTTCTAAACAGGAGTCTCCTACTCACTACCCAGAGAACCATTCCCCTGTAACAAAGACTGAAAAAGAGTCTAGTAGCATATGCTATATTTCATACCCATGGTCTCCCACCTCTGCATAGAATGAAGGGAGGCTTAGGAAACTCTCCTTTACTTTAAATCAATGAAGGAATGTTCTTAGGATGCCAGAGCTGGAGAGAGACCATGTAGGCCAAACCTTCATTTTATAGATACTGTCCTGTACTGATCCTCCCAGTTCTGACATTCTATGTTCTAAGGTCCCTTCCAGCTCTGACATTCTGTGTTTGAAGGGCCTTCTCAGCCCTGAAATTACATATTCTAAGGTCCTTTCCAGCTCCGACATTCTATGTTCTAAGAGCTCTCCCAGTTCCAATATTCTATGTCCTAAGGGTCCTCCTAGCTCTGACATTCTGTGTTCTAAGGTCACTTCTAATTCTGACAATTCTGTTTGAAGGACCCTCCCAGCCCTGCAATTTCATATTCCAAGGTCCCTTCCAGTTCTGACATTTCATGTTCTAAGGCCTCTTTCAGCTCTGACATTGTGGTTCTGTAAATCGAGTGCAGGCTGTGGTGTGGGTGAGGGATGAGGCTCAGAGGAGTGACTGGTGGCTCTGGATTGGAGGTGGGGTGTGGGGATGGCACTGCCTAGCCACCAGACAGCTTGGATTCTGTGGAGTGTGTGGGCTTCCATGACTCACCCTCAGCTCTATGGGGGCTGCATAGCCCCTGGCTCAGGTGAGGTAGCTGTGAGTCACTGTTGTGCTCTGGGAGCCTTCTGACTGTGACTCAGGCTCCCACTCAAAGAATTTGTGTTTTCTCTGCTCTAAGCTACAAGTGGGCCTGGGAGACATGGGGGCCTTGCTCTCATCCTAAAATCTTATCTCATCCCATTTGATTCTCTCCACAGAATCACAGGCTACATGTATGTCCCTTTACCTACAGATACCTCTGCGAAAAATATGGGAGATGTGGAACAAGCTGATTAACTCTATTTCTCTATAGAATCTACTTCATCTAGTGGAAAAAGCCCTGAGCTGGAAGTCAGGAGACCTGGGTTCTAATTTTAGCTCTGCCACTTACTTGCTGTGTTATCTTGGACAATTAACTTTTTCCTCTTTGGGCCTCAATTTCTCTATCTATAAAATGAGGTGGCTAACAACTTGTTCTATATTCTAAGGTGCCTTTCAACTCTACTATGTTCTAAGGTCCTTTCCAGTTCTGACATTCCATGTTCTAAAGTTCTCCAGAGCTAAGGTTCTCTGAGTCTACATTTCTTATTCGTGGTAGTCCCCAAGGGGAGCAGAAGCTAATATTCCCATTCTAGGCAGCAAGGTGGTACAGCAGAAAGAGTGTTGGGCCTGGAGTCAGGAAGATCTGAGTTCAAAATTGGCTTCAGATTCTGTCTACAGAACTAAAGGACACTCTCCCTCCTTCCTCAATGAGTTCTGTGCCTGGCTCACAGTCTTTCTCTCCTCCCAACTCCTGCCCTCATACCATGGGACTTCAACATACGTATTGATACTTTTTTTCAAATACCCTACCCTTAGGGTCCCTCAGGTTATTCATTTCCCATGACCACCTCCTCCACCCCACCTCAACCACACACAAAGATGGTCAGACCTTTGATCCCCCACAAATGCACCACCACCATGTTCCTGAACTCCGGAATTCTCTCATCTGATCACAAGCTAGTGTCATTCCACTGCTCCCTCTGCCTTACTATCCCAAACCCTATCCTTCATTCATACTATGACTGTCTATTCCCTGACCCCTCAGTTCTCTCCCAGGCTATCACCTATGTACTGGCTTCATTCCCCTCCCTTTCCCATTTTGAACTCTTGGTGAACCAGTTCAACTGTATACTTTTTTTTTTGAGTTAGTCATCCCCTTACATTGTCAATTGTGCCCTGCCAACTCTGAACTTTAGATCATTCCCACCATGTGCTGCTTTTGTTCCTACACATGTGCTGCTAAACAAAGTTGGAGAAAATTATGAAAACATGCTGCCTGGGTTCACTACAAATTTATGTTACATTACCTCGGTTGGACCCTCACTGCAGCAAGGCAATCCTTGTGCACCTTTCTAATTAACTGACTAGCCTCCACTCCATAGCAGCTCTTACAGACCTTTTCATTCCTTCATAAACCTCTCATGGCTTTCCCTCCCCACACTCTCAGCTGAGAGCCTTGTCTCATATTTTACTGAAAAACTGAGGCCATTCACCGAGAGCTCCCTCTTTTTTCCTCTTCATCACAAATCACTCAGATGCCTGTGCTACCATCTCCTCCATCTCACCTGAAGAAGTGACCATTTTCCTTGTCAAGGCAAATCCCTCCATGTGCACAAGTGATCCCATTCCCAATAAATATTTATTGCCTGGCTTATTTCCCTTGGCTTATGGACTTTCCCATCAGCATTCCCATCTACTCTACCATATTGCTCCTGCTATGATCCCCACTCTCACTTTGATTTCTCCCTGTCTCCTGGCTAATTCCCTACTGCTCATAAACATGCCCTTATCTCCCCTATGCTCAAAACATGCTCCCTTCCATCCCCACCAAATATCATCCCACATGTCTTGTGCCTTTCGTGGCTAACCTCCTTCAGAAGACATCTGCAACAGGGGCTTCCACTTCCTCTCCTCTCACTCCAGCTCTCTACGTTCTGGCTTCTGAGCTCATCTTTCAACCAAAACCATTCCCTCCAAAGTTACTGATGATCTCTTAATTGCCTAATCCAATGGCCTCCTCTCAGTTGTCATCCCTCTGGACCTCCATGCAGCCTTTGACCTTGTTGTTCACTCTCTTCTTGATACTCTCTTCTCTCTAGTTTTTCAGTACACTGCTGTCTTCTGGTTCTCCTATTACCTAGTTCATTGTGTCCTCTCAGCCTCTTTTGCCAGATCTTCACCCAGGTTATGTCTGCTACCTGTGGGTGTCCCACAGGACTTTGTCTTGGTTCCGCTTCTCTTCTCCCTCTATACTATTTCCCTTGGTGATCTCATCAGCCCTCATAGATTCAATTATCATCATAATGCTGATGATATCTTTACTTATCCAGCCCTAATTACTATGCTGATGTCCTGTTTGCACCTCCAATTTCCTATGAACATTCTTGAACTGGCTGTTCTATAGATCCTAAACACTACATGTCCAAAACTGAACTCATTATCCTTCCCCCAAAACCTTTTCCCTCCCCAAATTTTCCTATTACTGTTGAGGTACCACCAACCTCTCAAATCACCAAGGCTCCTGACCTAGGTGTCATCCATGACTTCTCACTACCTTTTATCACCTCCCCCCCTTTTCCAATATGTTGTCAAGGCCTATTGATTTTATCTTTGTAACATCTCTTGCATATGCCTCTCTCCCCACTCTCCTCTGATGCTTCCACCACCCTTGAGCAGGCCCTCACTCCTCACACCTCTACTATTATGATAGCCAACTGGTGGTTTGCCTGCCACAAGTTTCTCCTCACCCCAGTCCATCTTTCATTCAGGTAACAAAGTGATTTTCCTAAAGCACAAATCTGACCATGTCACCTGTGACTCTGGGCAGAACACTTAAACCTCTCTGAGTCTCAGTTTCTCCATTTTTAAAATGAGAATAATAATAGTGACTGTCAAAGGGTTGTGAAGATTAAGTGAGGTAATGTATGTTGCATTTGTAAATGTTAAAGTGCTATATAAACAAGTGCTATTATTATGGTCCAAGTAGCAGGCCCTCAAATCAAACATGCTTAATAAATATTGTGTGAATTGTAGTGAGCTGTCCTAGGTTTACTTGGCTTTGGGACTTCTCTCAGCTGATTCTGAAAACAGGTAGGGTGTAAAGAGATGGGAATAAAGGCAGTAGTCTCTAGCCTGACTACATGCACATTATTTAAGGAATGACACATTTTAGAGCCTCACTTTTCCCAGGTGAAAGATACATTCTTTGATGTGTAGTTAAACCCTTACTGCTTTCAGGTTCAGAAGGCTTATTCCTTACAACCCTGAGAGGCAGATAGGACAAACAGCCATTATACACCATTTGACAGATGAGGAAACGGAGGTTTATCAAGATGGAGTGATTTGCTCAAGGATAACAGACTATGAAGGTAGGTGGTATAAGTATCATCATCACCATTTTACAGATGGGAAAACAGATTGGGAGGGGGAGAATGACTGTTTTACTCAAAGCCACATAGCCAGTGAATGTTACAGCATGGATTTGAATCCAGTTCTCCTGATTTCAGTTCCAGTAATGAAGAATGGGGATCTGCTTGTTTATTTGTTTTAAGCAAAGTTTGCAGTAAAATTCTATGTAAATTCAAGAGGCAGCCACTACGGTCTCTGGGGCCACTGGTGAAGAGGGTATAATATAGAAGGAGCATTGTGGTTAATACTGGGGCTCTCAATAAGCACATGTTTGGGAGATGCCCAGGGATATCCTAGATCTGGAAAAATGCACTCCACCCCCCATCCCCTTCTGGTGATGTTGGCACTTACTGTAGGCAGTGGCAGAGTCTCGGTCTCTCTGGCTTCCACCCAGGAACATGGTCATCGAAGTGTATGGCACATGGTAGCACTGCAGAAGCAAAGGCCCATGGGTACTAAGGTCTCTAACTGTGCCACATACCCCCTGCGCTGCTCCCCTTACCCTGGGCCCCATAGCACAAAGGCAGCGATAAACACTTCCAGACACAAAACAGATATGCATCCTGATTCTTGTTGGGATGCTCTGCCAGGAGAGGATCCCAAACTACCAGTGCACATACAGTTAATAAGCACAGACAGCTCTCCATTATCTAGTGATAGTTTGCTCATTTTGCCCATTAATTGCCTTCTGTCCTAACAGCCTTTTCCTCTCCACTTTCCCATCCTCACTTTGCCTCCCTCCACTTATAAGTCTGTCCTTTATCTCAAAATGGTGGAGCTGGAAGGAACCTTAGATACCATCTAATTAAAATCTTCCATCCTTCTTGACCTCTTTGTAACATTTGACCCTCTCCTCCTGGATACTTTCTGATTTTTTAGTGACACCGCTCTCTTGGTTCTCCCATCTGTGTGAAGGCTCCTTCTTAGTCTCCATTTTTGGATCATCCATCCACCCACCCATCCATCCATCCATCCATCCAATGATAGGTGTTCTCCAAAGCTCTGTTCTGGGTGCTTTTCTCTTCGTACTACATTCCTGGGGGCCTCCTCTACCATAATTGAGGTATCATCTCTACATAGATGACTCTCACCTCTACATATCCAACTTTGGATTTTCTCTGGGGCTCCAGTCCTACATCACCAACTACCTATTGGACATTTCAAACTGAAATGTCCCATAGACATCTCAAATTCAACGTGAACAAAATGGAACACATTGTTTTCTCCCCCAAACACACCTCTCCTGAATTTTATGCCTTCTGCCCAGGGCACCACAGTCCTTCCCAGTCCCACTGAGCCATCCTTAGGCTTTATTGTGGGTCTCTTGGACCCACGTATCCAATTGGTTACCAAGTCTTTTCAATTGTACCTCTGCACCATCGCTTGTGTCTGATCCCTTCTCACCAGTCAGATGGTCAGCACCCTAATTCATGCCCTCCTTACCCATTGCCATAGCTCCCTTATTGGTCTCCCTTCCTCATCCTCCCCTCTTCAATCCCCACTCCACATGGCTGCCAAAGTGACAGTCTGGAAGCATAGGTCTGACCACATCAGCTTCCTGCTCAATAAACTCCAGAGGCTCCCAGTTTTCTCTAGGATTAAATACAAATTTCTCTGGCACTTGAAGCCCTTTACAACCTGGCTCCAACTCAGCCTATTACAATTGCTCTCCTTCAGGTACTCTTTGGTCCAGTCAAACTAGTCATCTTGCTGTTCCATCACACACCACATTCCATCTCTATGCCCTTGTCTTCTCCCAGGCTGTCCCCTCATGTCTGGAATATGCAATCTTCACCTCTGCCTCTTGAAATTCCTGGCTTCCTTCAAAGTCGAGCTCACATGTCGCCTCTTACATAAGGTCATTCTTGATCCCCCTAGCTGCTAGCACTTCCCCTCCAAAATCACCTTATATTTTACTTTTTGTATTGATTTGATTAAAACTCATATGTGCACATGTTGTTTCACCAGATGGAATGTAAATTCCTTGAGGGTGGGGATTGTTTTATTTCTGCCTTTGAATACCTAGCACCTAGCACATGCAGGTGATTAATGAATGCCTCTTGACTGATTGATTACAGGTGAGGGGACCTGGGTCCGTTTGCTCAAGGTCACATAGAAAATGAGCGGCAGAGATGGGACTAGAACCTCGACCTCCTGACTCTCACTCGTGCATCCATTCTCGTGCTCTTAGCACTAGACCCCATGCCAAGCGCTGAATCTCCCTCTCCCTCCCTCCACCCAGCCCCACTTCATACTTTAGTCTGCATTTGGCATCCCCAGGCTCCCAAGTGAGCCCCAACCCCCAGAGCTCTTGGAGCTACCTTACACTCAGACATGTCTGGAAGAAGCAGTAGGTGGTCAGGTGCCAGAAGAACTTCCAGGAGGTGGGGAGGGTGTCAGAGGGTGTGAACCAGAGGAGGCAGTACAGCAAGACACCAAAGGGGGTAGAGCCCAAAACCCTGTGAAACAGAGAAAGAAGGGGGGGGGGGTGTAACCCCATGAGGCAGGGCACAGAGGTCATGTCCAGAACCCTGGACCAGGAGTCAAGAGACCTGGGTTCTAGTCCTGGCATAGAAAATAACTTGCTGGGTGACCTTGGACAAGTCATTTCTCCTCTCTGGGCCTCAATTTCATCCTCTATAAAATCTCATCTCTTCTAGCACTGTAGTGCACTGCTCTTACACACAGTAGCTATTTAATTTTGTGGATTTGTTGTTTTTATTTGATTTAAGTGAAGAGGTTGGATGGTTTCTAAGATACATCTCACCTCACATATTCTAGGATCTGAGGCCTCTTACAGCTCTGACATTCTATGCACTGAGGTCCTTTCCAGTTCTGACTTTCTACGTTTTATGTTTCAGGGTCCCTATTAGCTATGATGTTCTATGTTGTAAGGGCCCTCTTGGTTCTTACACTGTGTTCTATGATCTGAACTGGGGAGAAATCTTATGATATGGCTGACTGATATTTGCTCATCTCAGAATGGGTGGGTGTTTGGGGGGCAAAGCCTGGCATACAGGGACCTCAGTTAACTAGAATTTAACTAAGGCAGCTCAAATAACTGACATTTCCTTCACTTTAAGGATAAAAAAAGATAAGTCAGTAGAAAATGATCCATTGTCTGGAATGTACTAAACAGACAAACTTCTGGGAGATTTCCTCTGCTGGCTTGGTTCCTGAATCCCTGCAGGGAGCTCAGCAAACAAAGCAAGATTCAAGTAAGTTTAGCATCCAGTCCATAATCAATTAGAAATGTAAATTTGACATTTCTGAGAACTTTCCGAGGACAAAACAGGAAGAGTTGCCCTTCCAAATGCAATGTACAAGCCCTACTCCTGCCCCAACCCAAACAAGATTTCCAGCACATGAAGACTTCAGATCACGGCCCTTAGAGCTAGAAGGGACTTCAAGAGATTATGGGGTCTAGCCCATTGCCTTAACGGCAGATAAGACATCATTATATTCATTTTGTAAATTCTCAGTAGATTGTAAACTCCTTGAGGGCAGGGACTGTTTTGTTTTGTTTTGTTTTGTTTTTGGTGAGACAATTGGGGTTAAGTGACTTGCCCAGAGTCACACGGCTAGTGAGTATCATGTGTCTGAGGCTGGATTTGAACTCAGGTCCTCCTGACTCCAGGGCAGGTGCTCTATCCACTGCACCACCTAGTTGCCCCCGCAGGGACTGTCCTTTGCCTCTTTTTGTATCCCCAGTGCTTAGCATAGTGCCTGGCCCCTAGAAGGTGCTTAATAAATGTTGATTGATTGTAGGTGAGGCAGCCGAGATCCAGAAGAGGGGAACCACAGATGCCACAGCTTAGCTTTCCTAACTTTGAGCACAAAGCTCCTCAGGTCCAGAGCTGGCTTTATGAAGATGCCACTCAGGGTCAGAGGACTTTGAGGTTTCTAATACTAGAACATCTCTTGGAACTTGGCCAGAAAAATACCCTTCATGGAAACCCCACTGGGACTATAACTACTTACACTTATATTTGTGTGGCTTTGCCTCCATTGTGTTCCTCATAACAGTCCTTCAAGGTAAGCAAGATTATTATCTCCAATTTACAGGTGAGAAAACTGAGACCCAAAGAATCATAAGCTGTCTGACCTGGTGGAGATCATTTAGTTTAACCCCCTCATTAATAATAATAGCTAGCATTTATGTAGCACTTTAAAATACATTATCTCATTTGATCTTCTCAATAATCCTATTAAGTAGCTGCAATAATTATCCTTATTTTACAAAGGAGGAAGCTGAGACTAAAAAAGGTTAAGTGACTTGCCCAGGGTCACAGAGCTAGTAAGTGGCTGAGGCAGAATTTGAACTCAGGTCTTGGTGACTCTTAAGTCCAGAGCTCTAGCAACTATACCACCTAGGTGCCTATTTTACAGGGAAGGAAACTGAGGCCCAGTTTCAATTCAAGTCCACTTCAACTTTGATCTCTTTAATCAGGAATAGACTTTCTTTTCAGACCTCATAGTGCACTTTGCTTTGTACCTTTCTAATGCAGTTATGTAATACTTTCTGGCCTTATCTGACAGTACTTCCCTACCTATACTCTGGGTTCTAGTGAAACTGTACCACTGTATTCATCTCCCTACTAGGCTGTAAGGACCCTGTGTCCTATGGAAACCTGTATCATCTTAGCCCCCTGTACTGTGTTTGGCCTATGGTAGGTAATGTTGGTGATTAATAAATATTTATTGATCCAATGAATAAATTAATTACTAGGATTCATTTCTCCTGACTCCTAGGCCAGACTGAATCAATCAAGGGTATTAAGGGACAAAAGAGGCCCAGTTTGAGCATGCAGCTTCATCCTGCCATGTCCCTGCTTGGTGAGACTGCTTATTCTTGAGAAAATTTGAGTCTCTCCTCCTGTGGTTGAGCAGTCACCTGGGCCCAACCCAGAGAAGGCATCCTTGATTCCACACCTCAGTTAGGAAGTCCCCTGAATTTGACATGCCATCTCCTTGTCCCAAACCTCGGCACCAGCTGTGCCAATGTCTTCCTTCCTGACCTCTGCCTCTTCAAATCCTTAGCCTTGTTCATGGCTCAGCTCGTGGACATCCTCTTTCCTGATCACCCTACCTGTAAATGTTCTCTCACCTTAATTCATCTTGTATTTATGTATCTGCTTCCATGTTATATCCTCCAAAAGAATATAAGCTCCTTGAGAAAAGGTACTGTTTTCAGTCTTTGCTTTGTATTCCCATCACCTAGGACAGGGTCTTGAACACAGGCATTTAATAAATGTTTGTCTGAGTTTTTTGAAATAGCCAGTGTCAAATCTGAACTCAAAATCCTTTACTGTTTTTCTTCTGTCTGCTGATCAAAGCTCAGACTCCTTTGCCTGGTGTTCAGGGCCTTAAGCTCAAACTCGTTTGCTGGCATTCAAGGCCTTCCACAAATTGGTGCCACTCTTATGTGTTATCTCATAGCATTTCCTTAACCACACTCTATGCCCCAGCCAAACTCTCTGCCCCAATATACACTCTACGCTTCTGAACCTTTGTTTGGGTTTTCCCCTCTGCTTGGAATATGCTCCCTTCCCACTTTGCCTACTTAATTTTTCTTTTTTCCTTTAAAGCCCAATTGAAATGCCAACTCCTCCAGGAAGTCCTCCCTAATTTTTCAGGTCAATAACCTCAGCACTATGTCCAGATTCTCTCTAATGCACTTAACATGTCTTATTATGTTTGTATCTTATTCCCCTACTAGATTGGCCTAAGTCTCATCTAAACTTTTAATGTCTTCTAGGTAGCTTGGTGTCCCCCACACAGTTAGTGCTTAATAAATGTTTGTTGAATGACTCAGTCTTTGAGCCTTTGGTGGCAGGGAAGGACCTGGAATCCTGCTTTTCCCAACCTGCAGGACCTGCCTCACTCACCATGGAATCAGTTTGCCACACTTCCTCCGGGGGCTTCTGCTCACCAGGAAGCCAACAATGGGGTCAGATACTGAATCCCATGCTCGGCCGAGGAAGATAACGGAGGAGGCCCAGAAGGGATCCAGCTGGAATGAGACGAAGAGAGATCAGGGTTGGGTCACCGGGGGACAACCAACACAGTCCCCTGGAACAGACAAGAGAGCTGGCCTTGACTTGCTGTGGGATCATGGGCAGATCACTTCAGCTGTCTGGGCCTCAGTCTCCCCATCTTTAAAACGGAGGTGACAACCTACTTTTCTTCTCTTGCGAGTGAAAACATTCTGCAAAGCTCTGTCGTACAAATGTTATACAAATTAGAAAGATGAGATATGGGAAGGAGAGGAGATAGAAGAAGGGAAAGGTCTAGTTTCTAATCCTGGTTGTCACTGACTTTCTAGCTGACTTTGTCTCCTAGATTTACTTTGTCTCCCCAGCCTCAGTTTCCTTATCTGTAAAAGGCCAGGATTGGACTAACTAGTTCCTTTCTGCCCTCGTGTTCTAAGTCAAAGGTCCCTCCAGCTTTGACACTTCGTGTTCTATATTCTCAGGTTCCTTCCAGCCGTATGAGAAGGAAGAGAGAAGAAAGAAGAAGCTGGATTAGCTGTAAAAATTACAATTCTTCAATTAAGCACAGGTAGACTGTGCTGCTCTTGGAGGTGTGTGTGGTGGGAGAGAAGGCTGTCAGGACAAAAAATGGCAGTCAGTTTAGAAGGAGCTCCTTACCCTGGAAAAACCCACAAAGTGGGAAAAATTCCTCCGGATAATGAGGAATTGGATGTATTAAGTAAAGATGTAGTCACACAGGAGCCATGGATATTACTTGATCAGAGAGGGGAGAAGGGAGAGAGGAGGACAGAGAAAGGGAGGGAGAAGTGAGAAAAAGAGAAAAGAAGAAGATAGAAAAGGAAAGGGAGATAAGAGAGAAGAAACAAAAGAGGACAGAGGAAGGACAGAGGGCTAGGGGAGGGAGAACATAAGGGATCGAGCAGGAGTTTTATCCTGTGATCCAAAAATCGATTTCTAGGAGTTGTATGGGGATAAAAATTGCAGCTTTATTTTCACTAACCTCTCAATAAATTTTAACATTTTCAACTATTTTAAAATATGATTCTAAGGCAGAGTCCATAGGTCTCACTAGACCTTCAAAGGGGTCCATTACACCAAAAAAAAAAAAAAGTTAAGAAATTCTGGGACAAAGGAAGGAGAGGAGGGGAAAAGGGAAGAAAGAAGGAGCATGAGAAAAGAGTAGGGAAAGGAAAGAGGTAGAGGGAAACGAGGAGAGAAGGGGAGGATGGAGAAAAGAGGAGGGAAGGGGAAAGAAGAGAGGGAATTATGGGAATGAAGAGAAGGGAAAGGAGGAGAGAGAAAGGAGGAGAAATGGGAATGAAGCAGGAAGGACCGGAGGGGAAGGGGAAAATAAGGGAATGTGGACACTAGTTGGTGTCCATGGAAGCCATCACTCCATTTGAGTATAGTGCTTTCTTCTCCAGTAGAAGAGTGTAACATTTTTGCTGCTCACTTGAAAAGGAGCTGACAGATTTCAAAGGCCCCTGAGAAAGCACAGGTTCTTGCTCAACCAGGGAAGGTTTGGGACTGCAGACTATGCCAAGGGTCTGGAAGCTGCACAGATGGGTATGACAGTCTATGTATCATTTATGGGAGATGATAAATTTTTGAGGGGCTCCTCAGTGATCAGAAATTTAAAAAAATCCCAGCAGGATTTTGCTAGGTTCACATCCATAACCTTTTCCCCCTACTACTATCACTCAGAAACCTCTCCTCCTTTGAGGTTCAATTCATATCTACCACCTAATCAAAATTGGGTAACTGTTATCTACTGACCCCCCAAGACACTCCCCTTCTTTCCTCAATGAGTTCAGTGCTTGGCTTTTGATTTTTCTTTCCTCCTCAACTCCTGTCCTCATAATATGGGACCTCAATGTACATACTAATACTCTTTCAAACATTGTAACCTCATAGTTCTTCATAATATAGGACAGTTCAACATACATACTGATACATCTTCAAACATCTTAACCTTAAGAGTCTCTCATTTCACATAACCTACTCCTCTATCCTACCTCAGTTCATACAAAGATGGCTGTACCTTTGACCTTGCCATCACCCACAAATGCACCACTTCCATGTCTATGAACTCTGAATTCTCTTCTCTGATCACAATCTATCGTCATTCCACCTCTCCTTCTTTGCAACCCCAAACCCCATTCTTCGTCCATGCTATTACTGTCAACCCCTTGATCCCTCAGTTCTCTCACAGGCCATCACCCTTACATCACTAGCTACACTCTCTTCTCTTCCCTATCTTGACTTCTTAGTGACTTTCCTTTTTTCTTAAGGCTGCTGCTCCTTTACTGTATCTTGGGTCTTGCCCTGCCAAACCTTAGTCTTGGTTCACTCCCACCATGTGCTGCCTTTGTTCTTACACACATGCTGCTAAACAACGCTGGAGAAAATCACGAAACTGTGCTTGACTGGGTCCACTAGAAATGTCTTATATAACCTCAACTGGGCCCTCACTGCTGCAAGGCAATCAATTCTTTTACGTCTCTCTATTTGACTCACTTTCCCACTCATCAATAACTCTTCCAAACCTTTTCATCCTTCTTCAAACCTCCCATGATTCCCTGTCTCCTACTCTCTCAGCTGAGAATATTGCCTCATATTTTACTAAAAAAAATTGAGTCCATTCACTAAGAGCTCCCTCTCCTCTCTTCCTCCTCATCTTGTTTCAACCAGATACTCTCTGCCACTACCTTCTCCTTTACCTCCATCTTACATGGAGAGGTGGTTCTTTTCTTTATCAAAGGCAAAGCCCACTCACTGCATGCACAAGTGATCCCATCTTCTCCAGCAGATTACCCCCTCTGTCTTCTCTGCTCTCTCACTTATCTCCAATCCTTCGCTGTCTACTGGCTCCTTCCCTACTGTTGACAAACACACTCATGTCTTTGCCATCTTCAAAAAGTCCTCACTTGATCCATACATTCCTGCTAGCTATTATCCCATTTCCCTCCTGCTCTTTTGGGCTAAACTCTTTAAAAATGCTGTCTGTAATAGGTGTTTTCATTTCCCTTTCCTTGGGGCAGTTAGGTGACCCAGTGGATAGAATGCCAGGCCTGGAGTCAGGAGGACTCTTTCTGAGTTCAGATCTGGCCTCAGATACCTGCTAGCTGTGTGACTGAGCAAGTCACTTAACCCTGTTTGCCTCAGTTTCCTCAACTGTAAAACAAAATGGAGAAGGAAATGGTGACTCACTCTAGTATATTTGCCAAGAAAACCCCATACACAGTCACGAAAAGTTGGACACGACTGAACAGCGACAATAATAGGTGTTTCCACTTCCCTTTCACTCTCTTTTTAATGTTCTACAATCTGGCTTATGACCTCATCATTCAACTGAAATTGCTCTCTCCAAAGTTATTGACAATCCTTTAATTGCTAAATCTAATGCCCTTTTCTCAATCCTCATCCTTCTTGACCTTTGATCTTCAGCCTTTGATAGTCAGTCACCCTGTTCTCCTTGATATTCTCTTCTCTCTACATTTTCAGGACACTACTTTCTCCTGGTTCTTCTCCCACCTAGCTAACCATTCCTTCTGAATCTCCCGGGTCTTCATCCAGGTCACATCCACTACTAATCATGGGTGTTCTACAGGGTTCTGTACTGGGACCTCTCTCCCTGGATACCATTTCACTTGGTGATCTCATCAGCTCCCATGGCTTCAATTATCATCTCTATGCTGATGACCCTCAAATCCACTTATCCAGGCCTAGCCTCTCTGCTGACTTCCAGAGTCACATCTCTGACTGCCTATTAGGCATTTCAGACTGGATGTCCAGCAGACATCTTAAACTCAACATATTCAAAATTCAACTAATAATGTTCCCCCTAAAACTCTCCCCTCTTCCTAACCTCCCTATTACTACTGAGGGCACCACCATCTTCCCAGACACCTAGGCTCATAACCTAGATGTCATCCTTAACTCCTCACTTTCTCCTCACACACCCCCCCCCCCATATCCAGTCTGTTGTTAAGGTCTATCCATTTTACCTTTGTAACATCTCTCAAATAAACCCCCTTTTCTCCTCTGACGCTGCCACCATCCTGATGCAGGTCCTTATCACCTTATGCCTAGACTATTGCAATAACCTGCCTGACACAAGTCTCTCCTAACTCCATCCATCCTCCATTCAGCAGTCAAATGGATTCTCGTAAAGTGCAGGTCTGGCTATATCACTCCCCCCAACACTCCCACCGCCATGCCACCCCCAACTCAATAAACTCCAGTGGCTCCCTATCATCTCTAGAATCAAATGTAAAATCCTCTGTCATTAAAAGCCCTTCATAACCTGAGCCCTCCTCCCTTGTCTTCCAGTTTTCTTACACTTTTCACCCACCCCACCTCCCTGTACTCCTTGATAAAGTGATACTGGCCTATTTGTTGCTTCTCTCACAAAACACTCCATCTCCAGACTCTAGATGTTTTCACTGACTAGCCCCCATGCCTGGACCATTCTCCATGCTCACCTCCACCTCCTGGTTTTCCTGACTTCCTTCGAATCCTAGCTAAAATCTTACCTTTCTCAATCCCCCTTAATTCTAGTGCCTTCCCTCTGTTATTTCCAATTTAACTTGCATGTAGTTTGTGTGAAATTGTTTGCATATTTCCCTCATTAGACTGTGACCTCCTCATGAAGCACAGACTTTCACTTTTGTTTTTGTAATAAACACTTTTTGATTGGTTGACTCATTGAGTAACCTTGGGCAAGTCATTTCCTTTTTTTAGGCCTCATTTTCCTCATCTGTAAAATGGAGAGAGAGGTGGTGGAACTGGATGATCTCTAAGGCTCCTGGTACTTTTAACAGTCTGTGATTGAATGTGAGCCTGGCTTCATCACAATGCCAGTTACAATACCACTTAAAGACAAGAGCCAGATTCATCTAGTTCTTTCTCCAGTTGCATCTACAACCAAATTAAAAGTTCCATGTGATTGATTCATAGCTTACCTCTTCCACCAGAGAAATCACAGAAACATAGAACTTCAAAGCTGGAAAAGACCTTTAAACACAGAATGCCTGAAAAGGAGGAGACCTTTGAACACTGAATGTCTGAGCTGGCATCGACCTTATGATAGAAAATGTTAGCACTGAAAGAGATCTTAGAGCTGAGGTTCTTTAGTTGGGATCCATGGATAGATTTCAAGGAGTTTGTAAACTTAGAACTTTAATATTTTAATAATTATATTTCAATATAATTGGTTTCCTTGAATCTTATGTATTTTATTTTATGCATCTAAAAAGTTATTTTAAGATGACATCTATAGGCTTTACCACATTGTCAAAGGGGTCCATGATGCAAAAAAAGGTACATAGAACATCAAAGCTGGAAGAGTCTTTGGAACACAGAACATAGAATTTAGAGCAGGGGAAAATGAGGCCCAGAGAAAGGAAAAGATCTGTCCACTATCTGACATAGTGAGTCAATGGCAGAGCTGGGATCTGAACCCAGGTCTCTAGATTCCTAGCCCAGGCCTCTTTAAATTTCTGTTTACCTGGGAACCCATCACAAGATGCCAATACCCAATGTCCTCAACACACATAGTTACTGATAGTGCCAAATGGAAGGTAAGGGACATTTATTCACATCCTTTCTACCCCTTGGGATTCTCACCTGTACTACATCCAAGAGGAAAATCTGCAGAAAGAAGGAAATAGTATTGCCAGTCAGCTGGTATGGAGCTTCTCCCAGGGCATAGCAGATCTTTCTGGATGTGGGCAGCCATGATTTCCCCTGGCACAAACATGAAGATCAGTGAGCACAGGCATTTGCCACCCACCAATGTCCCAACACCTCCCAAAGACTACTGCTCTCTGTTGTTCCCTCATCTCCCCCCCCCCCAGATCTGTTTGAGCCAATACCTGGCACCACCTCAATCTTTCTTCTTCCCAACTGAACTTCTAGCTTGAGAACCCCAAGGCCATGGGAAAAGAGAACTACGTCACAAGTCTATGGGAGAAACTGGGGATGTTTAGCTGGGAGAAGAGATGTAGGGAGAACCTGTGGGAGAGGGGATATGTCTTAACTTCCCAAATAAACCGTAATCCCCACCTCCCAGCCCCAGGGACTAGAACCAAAGGGGAAAGAGCATAGGATAATGAAGAAAGCTCTGGCTCTGGAAACTGAGGACTTGGGTTCAAATTCTACCTTGGATGCTCATTATCTATGTGACTTTGAGGAAGTCTGGTAAATGATGTGGTTCTCAATTTTTTCATCCTTAAAATTAAGATGTTGGGCTAAATGACTTTTAAAGTAGTGAGGTGCTGTATTGAATAGAATGCTGAGCCTGGAGTCAGGAAGGCCTGAGTGCAAATCCAGCCTCAGACACTTACTAGCTCTGTGACCCTGGCCAAGTCACTTAACCTTGTTTACCTCAGTTTCCTCATCTGTAAAATGAGCTGGAAAAGGAAATGGCAAACCACTGCAGTGTCTTTGCCAAGAAAACCCTAAATGGGGTCATGAAGAGTAGGACACTGAAATGCCTGAACAACCATGCTAAGTTAGAAGAGAGCAAACTGGTTGAATGTAAAGAATTTCTGAACCTCAGAGATATCCAGCAGTGGAACTAGCTGCCTTGGGACATATACTGAAGGCTCTGTCTTTGGAAGTGTTGAGGCAGAGTCTGTATGAACACTGGCCAGGGGTGACGTAGAGGGGATTCCTGCTTCAGTTGGGGGCTGAAGTCATTCTCCAGAGCTAGAAAGACTCAACTGGAAGATTATATGACTAACGCTTACTGTGTGACTTTGGGAATATCACTTGCACTTTCTAAGTTTCAGTTTTCTCTTCTGTAAAAGGGAACTCATAATCCCAGCTGCTCCCCTCCTGCAGAAGGGTGCAGAGAGAAAGGGCCCTATAAAAGAATGCATGGGAAGGTACTTTGGAACCATAAACTGTGTTGTAAATATGAACAGTTCTTAGTATTATTGCTATATCCTGGCTGTACTGAAGAGGTTCAGTTAGCCAGTGAACATCTATATTAAGCACTTTTTATGTGCCAGGCACTATGGGAGAAATAACATAACTGTACGTACAAACAAGCTATAGACAAGATAAGTTGGAAATAACCAGGAGTGAAGCAATAGGATTAAGGGGAATTGGGATACAAAAGCCTTCCTGTACAAGGAGGGATTTTGCCTGGGACTGGAAGGAAGCCAAGGAAGTCAGGAGGTAGAGACTCTTTCCCGGTAGGAGGCAACTGCTCAGTGACAAGCAGAGGCCCAGCCAACTCAGAGGAGAGTGTCCCCTTCCAGGAGGACAAGCAACACCCCAGCCCTTTTAAGGCTCACAGCACAGGGATGGGGTGGGCTGCCTGGCATCACACACAACTCCAGCTCCCCACCACTCTGGTTTCCCTAATGACTTCGGGTGTGTGGGCATGTGTAAGAGTCCTACTCTTTCTTTCCACCCCACCGGGCACCTCAGCCAACCTCCCTGAGGTGGCCCAGTTTCATAAGGAGGGAGATGTAGGCCTGAATCTGCTATCTCCACTCCAACCCCTCCTTATTCACACTAACAAACATGTGGCTGAGAAGACTCCTGTGTCTCATTTATCTGTTCCACTATCCAATCCTGGCTCATCTGGTCAGGCTGGGCCAGCTTTGTTTTGTGAGTGCTCCACAGAAATATATGCATGCTCACACACATCCACACAGGGCCCCAGACACGTGTGGGCATATACAGAGACAGCTCAGTGTTGTAGAAAAGGCATGTGGATTTAAATCCCAGTTCTACCATTTACTGTATGACCTTGATATTTAACCTTTCTTAGCCTCAGCTTTCCCATGTGTCAAATGAGATGGTTGGACTAGATGGTCTCTAACATCCCTTCTAGCTTAGAATATGGAATATATGTATACGTACATTTATGATATGATATATATTGTGTGTACATAAACACAAAC